AACACCGAGGCATCAGAATAGAAGGATGTTGCACTTTTAAAGATTTATCGACCGTGACCATGTCTTATACTAATGCTGGGTTTCTACATCAGTAATGCCGTGGATCATGTAAATTTATAACAAAATAACACAGTTCTTCATTACTTATAGATATTTCTCATTCCAAATGAAGTTATACCATGTTTCAGGCTTGTCAACTAGATATTTCTGAGGAAATTAAGCAACTAAAATGGCACTTCACATGCAATATCTCTCTCTCACACACACACACACACACACACACTGTACTGGTTTAGGGTTTCACAGCTGTAACTCGGTCTGGTTTGTGGCTTTTCGCCGCATCATTATTTCAGATCAGTGAAGAATCATCAGCTGAAATATCAGTATTCATCAAATACAGATGAACAGTTAGATATTCTGAGATCTTAAACATGATTATACCATAACTCTTTTCTGACTGGCACTTTTAACTAATGTACATCTCCAGTGGCTCAAAGTCAGTTTCATTAGTATTGTTAGATCAGTCATCACTAGTACTAGAGCTCATGGTGCCATGCTGAAACCGCTAGCAGTAAATATTAAAGCTGAGTGTGTGTTGAAACACACTGAAAACTCTCACATCTGCAGACTAGAAGATCACAGAGACTCAGACTGCTGGACTCACTTCACGCCGGACAGGAAGAAAACACCTAGCAACAAACAGAACACCATAGCAACCTCTTATAAAGCCCCAACAACCACCCAGAATACCACCCATTAGAACCTAGTAACTAATCCAAACACCCTAGCAACCACCCAGAACCTTGAGTAACCACTCAACAGAATCTAGCAGCTAATCCAAACACCCTAGCAACCACCCAGAACTCTGAGTAACCACTCAACAGAATCTAGCAACTAATCCAAAGACCGTAGCAACCACCCAGAACCCTGAGTAACCACTCAACAGAATCTAGAAACTAATCCAAACACCCTAGCAACCACCCAGAACCCTGAGTAACCACTCAACAGAATCTGGTAAGTAATCCAAACACCCTAGCAACCACCCAAAACTCAGAGTAAAGACTCAATAGAACCTAGCAACTAATCCAAACACCCTAGCAACCACCCAGAACCCCGAGTAACCACTCAACAGAACATAGCAACTAATCCAAACACCCTAGCAACCACCCAGAACCCCGAGTAACCACTCAACAGAACCTAGCAACTAATCCAAACACCCTAGCAACCACCCAGAACCCCGAGTAACCACTCAACAGAACCTAGCAACTAATCCAAACACCCTAGCAACCACCCAGAACCCTGAGTAACCACTCAACAGCATCTGGCAACTAATCCAAACACCCTAGCAACAACCCAGATGATCCTACCAACCATCTGAACTGGTAACCTGGTAAATATGGCTCAGAACACCCTAGCAACCACATAGTTACCACATGGTGCTGGATGGTGCTAAACGCTCACCACTTTCTTTTTCTGTTTTATAAAGTGATCATTATGCGCCTTTTACTCCGTTACAGAAATAATTTCAAGTTTGGGTGAACCGTTTCAGGTTTAGTTCAGATCTCAGCAGGTTGACGTCTATCTTTGAATGTATTGTGTTACTCTGATGCCACAAAGAGAAGAAAATGATCCGCCTTCATTCATTAGTAATGAGAATGCGCGCACACACACACATCCACTCTCTTATATTACTTTAATGACTTTAATCTGTTAAAGCATCACACAGTTGATGATTCCAGTCAGTCTGAGCGCATCTGTCGCTATATATGATACTGAGAGAACTAAATAAGCTCTAAACACACACAGCAGAGTGAATCACACCACTGGTTTCTCTCCTGCGGCTCTGAGCACCTGTGTTTTTGCACAGCAGTTGCGGTCTCACCTTGGCGCTGGTGTCCTTGTCGTCGCTGCGCACGGCTGCGGGGGCGCTCTGCTCGGGAGCGCGCTCGGCGCAGGTGTGGTGCAGGTGTTTCTGGCGCAAGCAGTCGTGGCAGCGGGTGGAGTCGAAGATGTTGGGCTGGAACTTGGGGCAGACCAGCTCGTCTCCAGCCAGAGGCATCGTGGGTCATTCGTTCACATGAGGTTAAACACACTCAAACAGTCAGAGAGCAGCCCATGCAGAGACGCTCAGATACACAGTGAGAGTGAATGTGTGATACCTGAGCAGCAGATGAGAGTCGATGGAGTTTGAGATGATCACACACACACACACACACACTCATCTCATTGGCTCGCTCAACAATAGCAGACAGTGATGCTGCATGTGTGTGTCCATCTGCTGTGTGTATTAAATATCAGCAGCTTCAGAGACGCGCCACAGCTGCTGCTCAACATCAACATCACACACACACACACACACACACACACACACACACACGCTCACGCTCACAAGCACACTCACACACACACTCTCTCTCTCTCACACACACACACTCATATACACACTCTCTCTCTCACACACACTCATGCACACTCTCTCTCTCTCACACACATACACACACTCACTCATACACACTCTCTCTCACACACACACACACACACACACACACACAG